ACCCCCAGTGCCAGCAGTGAGGTGAAGCTGAGGCAGACCATTTTGCCGATGAGAGCCAGACGGTGAGCAGGTTATGATGGGGTGAGGCGGCTGTGGTGCAAGAAGCCAGAGAGGACAAACTGGAGAGCTCCGGGACAGACCCGCTAAACCCCTGACGTAGAGATGCCTGACGGTCCTGCTGCGGGTGGCTTCTTCGGGGGCAAGGTGGCTGGTCCCAGGGAGCTGTTTCGCCTCCCTTGCAGTGGCTGCCTTGCTGCTCCATCTCCCTGGCTTTTATTGTCTGGCGTGATTGCGCTTTCAGGTTGGCAGGAAAATCCGTAGCCTGGCTACTCTGGAAAGAGGAAAGTGAAAGCAGCAGGGGAGGGAATCCCGCTGCCGCAGGTGCGGTAGGTGTGGGCAGCACGCGTCTCCCGCTGCCTGTCTTGCTGCCTGCTCTGCCGCCTGCCCAGATGGGGTAAGCTCACCCAGCACCCCAGGGATGCAGGGGGATGCTTGGGCTGCCTTCGGCATGCGCCCCTCCAAGGGAGCTGGATGGGGGGATGCTGCTGCCATGTCGAGGTGCTGCCAGAGGTGCTGGCAAGTACACAGAAGCCTCGGCACAACCCAGCCTGGCACTGAACTGAAAGCTGCGGGAGACCCCCAGGCACGCAGCCTCACAGGGAGAGCAGGCTCGGGGTGGCTGGGAGGGTTCTGGTGCCTCCTGAGCAGCAGCAATTTTTACCTCAGTTTCCCCACAGAAAGTGCAGCACGATGGCCATGGCAGGAAGGGGGTAAAAGCAGCAGCTGGGTGCGGGCACTGCACAATACAAGCTGCAGGCTTGAGCTTTATGGATGTACTCTCTTGAGGGACCAGGCTCGCTACAAAAGCAGGAAAAAGGCTGAAGGCAGAGGCACTTCCACGTAGCGTTTTCCCTGTGGGGGACAGAGTTGTGCAGAGAGGCTGACAGAGATGAGTGGTGCTGCCACCCCCACCAGCCACTGGAGCTGGCTGGGGTTTCCTCCTTGTTTAGCATGGAAACACAAATATAATGTATTGATATCTCTCTGCTGACAGATGGACCAGTGCCCTCAATCAGCAAACCTGCCCTTCCCCTGAGGTCACCTCCTGTGACGTGAAGCCATCATCGCTGTGCTTTTATTTTCATGCATTCATCAAGCATTAAATACAGAAAATTAGGGCAATACCTATATCTAAAAACCAAATACACAGTAGTGCAGCTACAGGCAGAAATGCACTTTGCCGTGCCTCACGTGGTGGCCACAGAAAAACACTGCTCCAGAAGGACCCAATTTTTAATGTTTGTATTTGGAAATAGACTGTGGACTTCAAGGAGTTCAAGCAAATGGGAAAAGTTCTTGCACAAGATTGTGGAAAGATACACCTACAGGTGGGCAGACAAGCACGGACGTGTTGTGCCAAGTCATGGAGATAGGCTGGGACCTCTGGACATTGTCCAGTCCAACCCCTGTTCTAGCAGCATCAGCTGGAGCAGGTTGCCCAGGATGTTGTCCAGTTCTGAATATCTCCAAGGATGGAGACTCCACAGCCCCTCTGGGCAACTTGCTCCAGTGTTTGACCACCCTCATAGTAAAAAAGTGTTTTCTTGTGGTCAGATGGACTTTCACATGTTTCAGGTTGTGCCCACTGTCTGCTGTCCTGTCAGTAGGCACCACCAAGAGCCCCTGAGCCCTCTCTTCTCAGCTTTTCCTCATAGGAGAGGTGCTCCAGAGCCTTCATCATCTTCATGGCCCTTTGTTGGACTCTCTCCCAGTATGTCCATGTCTCTCTTGCACTGGAGAGCCCAGAACTGGACCCAGCACTCCAGGGGTGACCCCACCAGTGCTGAGTAGAGAGGAAGGATCACCTCCCTCAACCTGCTGGAAACACTGCTCCTAATGCAGCCCCAGACACCATTCATCTTCTTCGCTGCAAGGGCACGTTTCTGGCTCATGTTCAACCTCGTGTCCACCGGGACCCCCATGTGCTTTTCTGACAGGCTGCTTTACAGCTGGACGGCCTCCAGCCTGTCCTGGTGCCTGGAGTTGTTCCTCCCCAGGTGCACGACTTTGCACTTCTCCTTGTTGAACTGCATGATGTTCCTTTCAGCCCATTTCTCCAGCCTGTCAAGGTCACTCTGGATGGTAGCACGACCCTCTGGTATGTCACCCACTCCTCCCAGTTTGGTGTCATCAGTGAACTTGGTATGCTGCTGGTACACTCTACCTCCTCCTGCAGATCATTAATGAAGATGTCAGGCAGGACTGGTTGTTGACCCGCAAGGTCCATCCACCCCTTCTTGAGCCTTTCCCCTGACCCAGCAGCATCTCGGAGAGCTCAGTCTTTCCTGGGAAACCACAGTGGAGAAGAGGAGAAGCAACCTGCCGGAACCACTGCTCCTAATGCAGCCCCAGACACCATTCATCTTCTTCGCTGCAAGGGCACGTTTCTGGCTCATGTTCAACCTCGTGTCCACCGGGACCCCCATGTGCTTTTCTGACAGGCTGCTTTACAGCTGGACGGCCTCCAGCCTGTCCTGGTGCCTGGAGTTGTTCCTCCCCAGGTGCACGACTTTGCACTTCTCCTTGTTGAACTGCATGATGTTCCTTTCAGCCCATTTCTCCAGCCTGTCAAGGTCACTCTGGATGGTAGCACGACCCTCTGGTATGTCACCCACTCCTCCCAGTTTGGTGTCATCAGTGAACTTGGTATGCTGCTGGTACACTCTACCTCCTCCTGCAGATCATTAATGAAGATGTCAGGCAGGACTGGTTGTTGACCCGCAAGGTCCATCCACCCCTTCTTGAGCCTTTCCCCTGACCCAGCAGCATCTCGGAGAGCTCAGTCTTTCCTGGGAAACCACAGTGGAGAAGAGGAGAAGCAGAGGCAGTGGGCAGGCAGTGGCATGGCTTGGGCAGCAGGCATTTCCACTTTGACCAAACCAGATGGAGATACAGCTAGGAGAAGAGTCAAGACAGCAAAATGTGTCACTAAAGCCCGATACCATGGTGGGCACAGGGTTTCCCTTCACAGCAAGTCATGGACATTGCTGCCGGACCAGGCTCCCAGCCCGGCTGCTGGGCCAGCCTCTCCCGCTGCAGCAGGTTCAGGAATTAAAAGCCTGAGGCCCAGCCAGGGCTTGGGTCCTTCATCTGCCCTCTCAGTGAACAGAACAATGTCATTGTCCTGTCTCTCCCATTAAGGAAATGCAGATTTAGAAAAATACTTTCTTATTCAATGCAACTTGTTCACATTTAATACAACTATGAAATAAAAGCCCAAACCAGCATAAATAACTTCACATATGACACCCAGGTGAGACACAGCTCAGCCGGAAGAGATGGCACCTTAGCAAAAAAGCCCAATGGGTGTAAAATTGAACATGGCTCCCAGTGGGGAAGGGGAGGGAGCAGGGGTCCTGGTGCTGCCTGGAGCAATTCAGGTTGCAGTGGAGCGGCTGGAGGGTGATAGTGGCTCAGGGTCCCCTGTGGTGGAGCCTGGCCATCTGGTAGGACAGGCACCATGGGGTGTTTCCTCCTCTAGACCGACGTACGAACAAGGCTGAGGTGTTTTTCCACCTGGGTTGGGATCTCCAGCAGCCGCTGGTGGGGCTGGAGCAGGGTCCCCAGCACGTAGATGGTGTTGTCCAGCACCAAGACAGTGATGTCCAGCACCTGCTGTGCTGGGACAGCCTCATCTGCAGCCCCAGGGACCCAGAGTGGGGCTGGAAGATCACCCTGGCACGCACACAGCTCCACCGTGAACCGCTGGCCCCATGTCATGGGCCCTGTGTGAGGCTGGCCCCAGCCAAGAACAGCACTGGGGACACTCTCAGGTCCTCCATCAGGTCCCAGAGCAGCATCACATTCCTGCAGGGCTGAGCTCCTTTGGCTCCTCTTTCCTGTCATGGAGGCTTTTATCTCCCAGCTCTCATTTCTGGTTGGAGAAGAAAAGTGAAACCTCAGGCAAAAGGAAACCCAAAGGCATCAAAGGAAAAGTGAAAGCTGAGCAGGGAAGCCAGGACCATGAGCGCAGCCCCCTGGCACTTAGGGTGACCCCGATGAAGGGCTGAAGGTCTCCCGGGTGTCTTGCTCAGATGTTTGCCCCTCACTTGCCGCTAGCTGTAGCCAAACCCGCGGGTGCCTGACTGAGCAGCAGCAGGGCTTTTCCCTGGCAGGACATGGTTTTGCCATCCTGGGCAACAGCGCACCATCAAGTATCTTGCACAATGATGCCACCCTCCGCCATATGCCAGTTCCCAGCCCGGCCAGCGAAGCCTGGCTGCATCTGGCTCCTCTGAAGTGCGCTTATGTTGGCTCCTGCCATGACAGTGGAAGGTTCCCAAAAGCTGGCACCGGCTGGGGTCTGCAGGGTGCTGGGGACCCACAGCAGTCATTGCTCCAGCCCTGGCGGGTCTCAGCCCCGACTGCAAACAGCACTGTGCTGGGAATATGGTGCAGATGGCGGCAATGGAGCCCCCCACTCAGATTCACGCAGACCAGTGGGCTGGAGCCTCTCAAACTTGCTCGGAGCAGGAAATCCGGGGTGTGTGGGAGGACCTGTGTGTGAGAAAGAAAGCGAAAATGGGCAGGGCTGTGGACAGGGTTGGCACTGGGTGAGGCAATTGCCCCGTGACTCATGGGCCTCCACTGAGTGGCACAAGCACAGAAAAGTCTTGGCCGTAAGCCACGCCATGCTGGAGCGGGGTGGCAAGGAGGAGCCCAGATTGCTCCTTCCCAACCCTTTTTGGAGCCAGTTGGCTCATTTGGGAGGAACTGGTTTGTGCTGCAGTTGCTGGTCTTGGAAAAGAAGAAAAAAAAAGAAAAAGAAAAAACCAAAAAAGTGCCTCAAAAAAGCCAGCTTTCAAAATAGAAACCCTGGGTGATGGGCAGGAGCCCTACCTGGGGCACGGGACATCAGGTGGCCTCTGCTCAGCAGCCATCACCAGGTGGTGTATAGTATATCCTTGCCACCAAAGCACTGCTGGCCCCGTTACACACCCTGTAACCCTTCACCACCTCTCGGGACGTGCGATCTCCAGCAGCTGCGGCAATGTCAGGCTGGTTTGTGCCACTCCACATACCTTGCACTGCTCACACTGTGCCTGAGCGCATTCATGATGCAATCCCTGGTGTTACATCACGGCTGGTAACTCACTGCATCATCCTGGGGAACGCACTGAGCATCCTGCCACCACCGGGGAGGGAAGGGCTGTTAATTTTCAAGTCAATCAATGAGCAGATTTAAACAGTTTAAATTTAAAGTGAGGAAAAAATTCAAACAAGCACTGTTTCCCCAGAGCCTTTGTGCCAGTGCTGTAGGGACATGGGATGTCCCTTTCCTGGAGATATCTCCCTGCCCAGGCATGGCTGCAGGGACGCACCTCACCCGGACAAGCCCTGCCAGGGGAGCTGGAGCTTCCCCAGCCAAGGCAGCCATACAGGCCACTGGCCTCCCAGTAGCCCCCAGCTCCTTCACCTGGTATGGTCCTGGAGAAGGAGAGACCTCTAGTGCTCCTTCAGGAGATGACAAGCCACCAGCGCCACTCTCACCCAGCAAGGGAGGTTTTTTTGGGTGCTGCTCACTCAAATGCAACCTGCACCTGGTGCAGCCTCTTTGCTGGTGACCTACAGCAGGGCTCAATCCAGCAACACCACTCGATGCAGTCTTCTCCAACACCTGGCCACGGACACAGAGACCAGCCTCACATCAGCACTGGGCACCACCCTCCTGGGAGCCACCAAGTGGGGTCAAAGCCTTTGCTCCTCACTCTGAGCAAGCTGAGCCAGCACTCAGTGACCCCAATGGAGATATGCCCGGGGTCAAGAACCTTCACCAGGTTGAGGAGGCCCAGTCTCTGCACCCATGGATGACAGCTGAATCACATCCTGCCCCTATAAGCCTCCTTCCAGGGGCTCTCTCTATGGGGAGGGCAGAGGCGTCATTTCTGTCTTCCTTAATAATGCACCAAGGTGTAACAGAGTGAGGCTACAGCCCTCCCCAGGACATCAGGGCAGCCTTCTTGCTGGGGGCAGGAGTTACAGGAAAAGGAAAAAAGGAAAGGTCCCTGCAGAGGCTGTGCCTGGACTTAGCATCTCCAGGAAGCAAACAGGAGGGGACCTGTGCTGGGCTGTCCCTGGCTTTGAACCCCTTTGCCTCCATCCGCCCCTCCCTGAAACTCAGCCTCTAATCTTCCCTCTGCAGTGTGGGTGAGTGATAGCAGGCTGGGACTGAGAGGAGCACAAACGTGCTCCCCTGCAGCAGCAATCCCACAGAAAGGCTCCCGAGCTGTGCTGGGGTGGAAGCAGGGGTGCTGGCACAGCACTAGGCAAACCCGGGGCAGATAAGAGGCTGATATGCCTGCACAAGCCAGCACAGCACCAGGGATGGAGCCATGTAGTGGGCAAGAACAGCCCCTTTCCATCTTGGCCTTCAAAGACAGCACTCTACTCCCAGCTGTGCCTGGGCAGGGAAAGGGGCAAATGGCTCTTTCCACCTACAACCCATCTACCCCATGAAACAGAAGGCCACTCAGGGCCTAGGGGAGCAGTGTCCATGAAGTGCAGTTTTTCCTATGAAGTGCAGTTATTCCCACCCCAGCAGGTCTCTAAAGCCTAAAAGAGGAACCACAAGCAACTTTTTCTCAGCTTTTTTAATTATTATTAATTGTGTAAGAAATGCAGCAAGTTTCTCAGCCATTACTGTGATTCTCATCCTATGTGCAATCCAACCAGACTGAAACTGGACCCTTCCAGTGCTGAGGGCACAGCACAGGACAGCCTGGGGAACCAATGTGGACAGAAACCTGAGAGCAGGCATAAACCCACGTCTGCTTTCCACAGAAGATAAAAATTTTAAATCACCAAAATGAGCATTGAACTTCCCAAGGAGTAAGGGTGGTTACAAGTCAAATATTAAGAGACAACCCACTTCTTCCTTCACTTCCAGCACCAGATCAGGAGAAGGGTTTTCCTCTCACTGTCCCTTGCACCCCAGCACGCAGACATGCCTCACCCAGAACTCCACTGGCGTTTCACGAGAAGAAACTCCCATTGCCTCCAGCATCCTGAAACAAGAAGCAAAGGAAGGGTCTCACTCTGTCCAGCCAGGTCCCGCCTGACATGGTGTGACACCCACAACTAGAGATAGGTCTCTTCCACCCAAAGAGGTCTCAATGGTAGATGCAGGCAGCAGCAATGCATCCAACAGAAGCACAAGAGTTGTTCTGGTCAGTGAGCAAATTAGAGGCACATGGATGCTTGCCCCTCCCTTCCCAGCTTTGCAGCAAGCCCTTGCCACACATCAGTTAAGATGCAACTGACAATGCTTTTCCTCCTCTCTGCTAATCAAGAACAAGGCGGAGAAACTCAGGAGACCTCTGACATGAGACTTACATGGATACATCAGAACAAGAACACCATACAGCTACATTAAGTCAGCTGACTCAAACCCAGGTCAATTGTGCTGTGAGCGGCTGAGGCTCTGCTGCCGAAA